ACTCACTCACTCACTCACTCACTCACTCACTCACTCACTCACACACACACACACAGGTTTGTTTTTGTGAAAAGTGGTGACATTCCATATGTGTAATGGTTTTTCTACTGTACAGACCGTATATTCTATTGCCCTACACCAACCCTACCCCTAAACCTACCCCTCACAGGAAACTTTGTGCTATTTCAGATTTTCAATACACTCCATTCTGTGTGATTCATAAGCGCTTTGAAAAGTGGGGACATGGGGTAATGTCCTGAAAAGTCACCTTCTCCTTGTAATACCTGTCATACCTTTGTCATTATACAAATTTATGTCCTCATTTGTCACAAAAACGCACACACACACACACACACACACACACACACACTACAGCAAGCACAGAAGCTCATCTGAACTGTGATGATTGTCTGTGAGTCAGTGATGATCAGTATCAGTCAGAATCATGATATCTCCAGTGAAGCGTGATTCTGACCCGTGTTTGGTGTTAAACAGAGTCCAGCGGTCAGATGAAAGTCTTCTTACCCAATAAGCTGCTGGAATGTTTGCCTCGCACCACCACTTTCCCCAAAGAGAGACTGCGCTGGAACACCAACGAGGTGCGTGTCGCTGCACATACTCTATCACTTCACACTGCTGATTCTATTAGTATTTCAGATTAGTTTCATTCATATGTCATGTTTTGTTTAAATATGTCTATCGTTTTTATCTTAAGTTTCTGTACTTTCTGCAGTGGCAAAAAGATGAAATAAAATTAGTTGAAGTGTTTTAATATTCTGTTGTATGTCCGTTAACGTTTATTTAATTTCAAATAACAAAATTTTATTTTTTTTTAATGTGAGGTGGACGATTAACAGCACTCTCCATCAGCTTTACACTGATCTCTTTAATCTGTTAATAAGTTTATAGTTTTATGAGATCTTTTTAATGTGTTTTATTGTGATTGCTAGTATTTTACAAGCATCTTTGTATTTGATTTTCTAGCATTATCGTCACTATTTTGCTGTTTGACTCTGTAAAGTTGCTTTGACACAATCAGTACTGTATAAAGCACTATACATATAAAGGTGACTTGACTTTTAAAATGATTTCAGTGCTACATTTTTATGATTTTATTCATTTTTAGTGTTTTATTTTAACTTGTTTTTATTTTTAATTTATTCATTTTAATTTGACATTTTTGTCATTGTAGTCTTTTAATTTGCTTTTATTTAGAAGTATAATTTGAGTTAAAGTTTTAGTAATTGGGTTTCATGATTTTGTAATTTAGTTTTTTTTAATTATGTATTTTTTTAGTATTAGTTTTAGTTATTTTAGTTAATCTAAACGAAAATAAGAGTAACTAGCTGAAATAAAATAAGTTTATTTTATTTATGTTTATATATTTAGTAATGAAAATGTTTTTTATTTATTTATTTATTTTAGTTTAGTTAAGAACAATAACTCTGACCAAAACAGCTGGTGTATAATGGCTTCTAAATGATAGTGTAAATTTTCGTGTGTGTGTTTCAGGAAATTGCGTCGTTCCTGATTTCGTTCGACAGACATGACGAGTGGCTTTCTTGCACGCTTAAGACCAGGTCAGTTGTGTGATCGCATCTGATTTCATTTTCACAGGAAAATGACAAGATAATGTCCAAATATCAGCAGCAGTTCAATCTGAAATGCTGAGGACGAGAAACATTGTAACTCACACCTGACGACAGTTATAGCAATAAAAACTTAGATTCTCATCATTATCCTATTTAATATGATTCACAAGTTAATTTTATTTGAAAGTTAATGAATTAAATGTACAGTGGCTGTACATTAACTGCCTGTATGCATCTAGTGAATATTGAATATTTTGAAACAAGGTTAAGCTGTCTGATTGTATTCCTCGTTTCTGATTAATTTGGCGAATTGCATTACATTACGTACATTACATGCCGGCTGTTCGTGTGTTCACACACAGGCCACAGAATGGTTCAGTCATCCTGTACAATCGCAAGAAGGTCAAATACCGGAAAGATGGATATTGCTGGAAGAAGAGGAAGGACGGAAAGACGACCAGAGAGGATCACATGAAGCTGAAGGTTCAGGGCATGGAGGTGTGTGCGCGTGTGTGTGAGTGAGAGTGAGTGTGTGCGAGTGCGTGTGTGTGAGTGCACGTGCGTGTGTGTTTGTGTGTGTGTGAGTGTGTGTGTGAGTGAGCGTGCGCGTGTGTGTGTG